CAGTAATCGAACCTGTTAATAGACGGAAGAAGATCGCGATATCTCTCTCTCTCTCTCGGCGCATTTAAAATTGTTTTGAAACTTTCTATATACAGGATGCCACATTTTAAAGATTCATATAAATAACAATCTTGTCTAAAATGACGATTTTATTTATATAAACGGCCATTCCTTACGCTTACAGTTTTGGACGTTGAAGCTTTTGAGCGTCTGCTCGGCCCGTGTATGGAACTTATGAAACGTAATATCGACGATTACGAAGAACAACTAGTCAAAATATTTGGCAGCAAAACCAACATCTCCGATATTCGATGAACTGTCTCCGGGCAGAGTCACGTCACCATGCTGCTGTATCAAAGGACGCGACACTTTCGTACAGCATATAATATGTAACGAGCACAAAAAAAAAGGAACTTGTATCACCTACTTTTGAATCTCATCCCGCGTGTTTCGGGTATCATCTCGGAGTCAACAACTGTTTCATGTGACTGTTCACTTAGACGTATACCGATTAAGATTCGTCGATAATAGTTACCAAGTTTATACCTACGACACACATTGAAGAAAGCTGCTCGATTTTGTGCGTGTATAACGTAACGACACGGCATTATTAATAATTATTCTCTAAGACTGTGCTGGAGTATTAATGCGTTCTGTTACGTGCTCGATCGTTTGCGAAATGAATACCTTTATTTACTATCTTCTCAGTGAAGGTTCGAAATGTAATATTTTGAGGTATCTATAATGGTATCAGCATTATTATAATATTCAATTTATCCCTGGAATAATTCAACATAGTTTATCTCGATGTATTCGATATATTTCAATATTTATGTATACTCCTGTGCATTACTCATCTCTAAGCAAATTAATGATTTACAGGATCTAATAAGAGTTCAGAATATTCGAAATCGAATGCTCTTCTAACGTTTATCTCTGGCGAAAGATAGATGACAAGGAAGACGACCACATTAGTAATTGTATCTCACGGGATTTATGAGATACATGTTGTTCACATGCATATCACTCTGTCAGAGATAATGAAAGTAACATTGCCATTTTTAAACTTAATGAATCCAGAATTGTACAATATTCTTTGATACATCCATTTAACAATATAATATCTTGATAAAATATCAAATAAGACAATCAAGAATTTGTCGCAATATATAATTCGCAACGAGTATTAGACATGTACTTCGCGAATTAGGTACGCACATAACATACACATGTATTCATTACGTGTAGCGCACATAGTGAAAAAATAATTTTTTAACACATAATGTTATCACTTATTTTCATTATTTTAAATATAAGTTTGACTTGTATATGAATTATTTTTATGTACATTGATATACCTTTTATGTTAAAACTTGTATGTATTCACAGACGTTTTATATATAATTGTCATAGCTTTATATGTAATTATTTACGATGACATAAGTGCATCTATTAACGTGATATGCTAAGCAACACATTAATAGATTTTTATTCAAAAAGAAAATAGTAATTATTTTGTAATGAGAGAAAAATAATGCTGATGCAATATACATATATTCTTTACTAATAGAAATTGATAAATGCCAGAGTCGTACAACCGCATTCTATTTCGGATATAGAGTACTCTTAAAAATACTCTTAAAAAAGCAGAAAAAGTTCAGGAATATAAAGAAGCCTTAAAATTGACTTAAATGCGCGGATGTAACGTTATTAAATAAATATGTACATTGCGCGTGTATATGTACAAAGTAATATAAAAGAAAATGTATACAGTAACAGGCATATAAATACAAAATGAGCAAGAATATAAGATTGGAATATAAGATTTTTTTTAATTACTTTATACTTACATGTATCAGATTAGATTTTCATTTCGAAAGATAACCGCGTGTTTAAGTCGACGTTAAATTCAAGTGTGTCTTGCCGATAAATCATGGTAACTCGAGAATCTATTACGAGAATCCATTAACTTATTTTTATTACATGTGTACGAGACATGTGTATGATGATATACATCTATCATCGTGATAAAAGTCCAGTTAAAAACCGATTCGATTATAGTATGGACAGGTGCGAATGCTAGTCACTTTTGATGACCGTGTTATTGTCATATTCTCTTTTGACAATTATGCTCGGTCACGAGAAAAAAATACTTTTTATTACTGTATGTATTTACTATGTGACTGAAACTCGCGATGAAGCAATAGGGCTTTTTAAATAATATCACAATCGTGTGAGGGAGAAAAGGGAGACTAGTATGAAAGTGAAATAGAGAAAAAAAATAGCGTTAGGAATTGTTGATAACAATTGTATTATCAATTACTTTTCATTCACGGCGCTGAGTGGTTTTAATTTTTTTTTTCTTATTTTTTCCATACATAGTTTATTCTCTCGTAAAGCTTAATCTTCAAATCTCGCGGAATTGTTCAAGTGAATAATTAAATGAATTAAACGAGTGCTAGATCTCGACAGTCTGAAGAAATATTCATATTTTAGAATGTTAACAATTTGAAAAGCAGTTTGTTTGTGACATATATATCAGTATCTTTAGTCTTCCATTGTATCTCCAGGCTGTGATATTATTTTCGACTGAGTATTTCATTAATTTCTTTCTATAATCTCTTACAAGAGAAATAAAAAAATATCATAATCGTTATCGAATTCGTGATCAAACTGACAAGTTTGTTTCAAATAATTCAACCAACGTATCTTCTATATGTGTAAATGCGACAGAGATTTCAATGGATTAACAAAAGTGACTCGATTGTTGTTGAATACAAAAAAAACTCTACACGTATCGCAAAAGAATATATAAAAAAGGAGAAAATAAAAAAGAGCTGATTCGCATGCTGAATAAACTCGATACGCATAAGTACTTACTTGTGTTAGATTACATTTGCTGAATTAAGTGTCAAGTATCGAAGTTAGGATCTGTCCAATTCGCATTGCTGTATGTATCTATCATGTGATTTATCTTATGTGTTGCGTGTTGTCGTTTGTGTATAGGTGTGAATGTGTTTGCGCGCGCGTATGTGACGATCGAGCCAGTAATTTGTTAATTTATGTTGCTATTATTGATAGTTTACATTCTCTCCGATAGTTCTATAATTCATGTTATCGTCATCATAGATAATACACCCGAAATATGTCCTACGGATAAATATTGTAACAGTAGTATGCCTTATTGTGCCACTGGATCTTCGTCTTTCTGCTTTCGAAGGAAGAAAAATTATGAAAAATCGAAGATACAGATTTTGTTGTATATATATCCGCGTACTACACTGCTGGATAAAACGATCAAAAACACTTTATGTGTACTTTAAATGTTCATAAATGCCTTTATAAGTCAATTCCATTAGCAAATTGAAAATTGAGATTTTACACGAGCAGCAAAATAAAAATTATGTAAGATAACTAAAGGTTGTAAAAATTTATGTAAAGAATCGAAGTAATTCAAAGCAATTTTATTATTAATAGAAAAAAAGAGATGTATTAAAATTCTATTTTTAATTATAACATCTTTCCAATTATTTTTTTTTATGATTTAGTCCAATAGAATTTCACAATTCTTTAAAACTAGGAATTGATTGCAAGTTTTATTTTAAAATATTATTTCACCTTGATATTTTTATATATTCTATATATTTTTATATAAATTAATTTCTGTAATTATCATACAGTGTTTTATCATTATGTCCAGCAATGTATCATGTACCCACATGTTATATCCAGCGGATGGGTATTCGATTTCTTCTTGCAAGTTATAAAACAATTCAGTGTAAAATTTCAAATAGTTTCGAATATTATTGGAGATTATGAATTTTGACAAATCTTCAAAGAGTTTTATCAATCATTTTTTTTTAATTCTTGAAATTCTTTAAAAAAAAGATAACATAAATCTTGGAATTTGTAACACAACGACAGAGAAATTAATCTATATCAATATTTGGATGATATAGAGAATTATCTTTGAGATCTCAAATCTCTGGATATATACAGTGTCGTATACATTTATCAAAACTTTTAATAAACGTGAAAAAGCGAGAAGCTCTAAAATTTAGAAGACTTCGAGGATTTCTGAAACTGTCGAGGCCTTTAAAAAGTTGTCTTTCAAAAACTCTTCAAATAATATTCGAAATAATTCGAAACTTTCGTCGTAATGATTCAAAGCACTTGTTTTAGCCCGTCACTAGCTGCATCGCAATTCTAGTCCAAAGCGACATGCGACATAGAGAAACGTTTCCGACCAAGTAGCATATGTCGAATCAGAATATCTATGAATTGACCGCGGTAACAACCGTAACGCTAATAACGTGCCAGTAATACTTAGTTTACACTTACGTTTGTCTTTGTGCAACGATATTCCTAGTGTGTTTAATTTATCAGTGTAGCGTCAGTAGTTGTTACATGGTATTAGCATGTATTAGCAATGTGTCATTGTGCATGTGAAAATGCACTTTGCATCGGACCAATTTCAAGAAGCAATTGAGCTTGCGACTATCCTTTCTCCCGTTTGTTCGTATTCCTTCTAGCCGTATGCAGCTTCAATCGATATCCTTCGCCGATATAAAAACGGAATTTCAAAGTATTACGCGTACTAAGAATTTTACTGTCCCTCCGCCGTCACGGTGACTTTCAAGTATTATTTCCATGTGCGTGCACCGCGGTTGTAAATTTTATATGAAAGTTACAGCCCTATAGAGATGGCTCTCGAGAAAAATAATTATCTGTGAAAAGTAAACTTTCAAAGTAATTCTCAAGTCCATGCTTTAATGCACTTAAGGAGAGCGATACGAGTCTCAAATTCGATTGCGTGCTGACAATCGTCCGGTGTACGAGAATGCTTGCATTGTTATAAAGGTATCTTGATATTTTGTGCCTTTGTTTTTCCTTTTAGAGATCTATTAATATGCACTTCCTTGTTCACATTTGGACGCGCTGGTAACATTAATATTTTATGCTACGAAAAGAAGAAATTATGCTTTTAAATTCCTTCAACGGCGACAACATGTAATTTAACGCGGACGCTTACGTGCAATTACAACAAAATAAAAGAGAAGAGTACATTTCGTACATGTGATTAAATAATATAAATAATTGGGCAAAAATCGGAACATTCGCGAAGCCCAGAAGTGTATACGTTTTTCTCTCTTTTTCTGCATGTTCCCATTGTATCCCATTTTCCATTATGTCTTCGAACCAAAGCATGATAAAGAGGAACCTCTCTGATTGTATTGTGAATGTTGAATAAATTTAGAATATATAATTAGCCTTAAAATGTGTCTGTGTACACGTTGCTTGAAGCGTATTATACATACACATATAGCGAATAAAACATCAGAATGGTTCTCCTTGTGTTCCATTAGTGATGTAAGTCTAGCGAATTTCTCGGATAAGTTGTACGTGCCGTTTTAAAGTGAATTGCGTCAAAGCTTGTTGCAATATGTGCTGCTTTTCGTTTTGTATTCCGATGACGTATCTGTCTGATGTAACAAGATTCCGTGTCTTCGAAGAAAAAGAAACGGCAAAAAGAGAAAGGAGATACGCAGTAGATACGTAGTCATTTGCAGAATAATCTCGGTTAAATCACACACACACACACACACACACACATACACACATACACACACATCGGTTATTTTATATTTTAATAAGACTTCACAAAATTTTTTTTAAACGCGCGTATATAGATCATTATTGTCATCCCCATATGCCTGAATATTATTTGGAGTGCGGCCCTCCTCCCTGTATATTTAATAAATTTTATACACATATGCGCATACATAAGAACGTTTTTAGGTATAAAAACTGTTGTAAATTACGAGATAGTAATGTACTTAATGCCCCTTATTTCGCAATGTGTATAGTATTAAATAAT